CTGCCGGCAGGCGAGCCGGTCACTACCGAGTCCAGGTGTGAGCCCGCAGCCCGGGGTGCCGAGTTCTTCTCCTTCTACCTCCCATCCCCCCCGGACAGCCGGATTAGACGGGGAAGTGATGGCTAGTGGTGAGAGCAGGGGGGCCAGGACTCCACGGTTCCATCCCCAGCTCTGGGAGGAAAGTGAGGCCTGATGTTTGGTGAGGGCAGAGTGAATCTGGACTCCTGTGCGCTCTCCCTGGGTCTCGTAGGGGAGCAGGGTCTAATGGTTAGAGCAGGGGGGCTCTGGACCAGAACTCCTGGGTTCTCTCATCTCTAAGGCCAGGTCTACACTACAGAAATCTCCTTCCAGTGGCCGCTGGGCAGGGACCCAGAACTCGGCTGGGTGGGGTGGATTATTCACACCCCGTCAGCACTGAAGCTCTGTCAGCCCAAGACGCAGTTGTTCTCCAACGGCCGTCTTTCCCCTTGTGTCTGGTTAACAGCCAGCTCCAGGCAACGGTCTGACCTCATTTTATTTATTAATGTCACCGTCTGCAGCTCCCACCCCAGTGAGGCTCTTCCGGGACTGTCTGAAGCAGTGTTGAAATGCAGCTGCCTCTGGGGCGGGGGGTGGGGCTGGGACGGGGCGCTGAGACGTAACAAGTTCTCTTGTGGGAGCAGCAGGAGCTGTTCAGCCAGCATGGCACTGAGATGCGGCTGGGTTTATACTGGGATCCCTCAGCTACTGCAGAGATGCAGCTACCTCTGGGGTGGGGCGACTGTTTACAAAGGCTCCCTTGTCCAGCACTGAGATGCGTCCATCTCGGGGGGCGGAGAAGGGCGTCATTGCTGGGCTTTACCCTACGGATGCCTTCTCTCTGCCAAATGTCTCCCACTGGGCTAAACTCACCTCCTCCAAATCAGAGCTCCCTGCAGGTTTCTGGGGGGATCTCCTTTCACAGCGGCAGTAGGTTTTTATCCTGCGCCGTGCCACTTGGGCCCACAAGGCCGACAAATGTTGCAAACATGACTCCTGTCACCGTTTGCTTGCACTGAAAAGGTCCCGTCCCAGAGTCTGCGGTTGGGATGAAGGTCTGGAGGGGAGAGTCGCTGCTCCTGTTGGGTGGATCCTTTCTCGCCAACAAACCCCAACCCCTCCCCAGCAGGGAAATGAAGGAACATCGTCTATTTATTTGTCTGTAATAATTGCAACGAGCCTTTTCACTGGAGAGATTTTTACTGGCTTTATTTAATAAACGGTGGCAAATAAAAGTTATTTTTTTAAACTACTGTCTCCTCCTGAACTGTCCTTGTGTTAAATTGGATTATTACTGATAAACTGTCGCTTTCTACACCGGGCCCCTTGCCTGCTGCTGAGATGCAACCACCTCTGGGGTGGGGTGCAGAGGCGTCTATCTGAGAAGCTGAGCTTGCTCCCTGCAGCACAGCGCCCCCTAGTGCCACTCTGGGGCACCCAGGCCAGCCCTGGCTGCCAGAGGAGAGCCCTGATCCCACCTCCTGCAGCACAGCGCCCCCTAGTGCCACCCTGGGGCATCCAGCCCAGCCCTGACTGCCAGGGGAGAGCCCTGATCCCACCTCCTGCAGCACAGAACCCCCTAGTGCCACACTGGGGCATCAGGGCCAGTATCCTGGGCTCATCCTTTGCACTGTTAAACAGCACTGGTTCAGATCCAAGGGCTCCCTGCTCCTCCCAAGAAGCAGCTGCCCTTCTAGTGTCCAGCCTGGTCTATGCTACAGCCCAAGGTCAACGTGAAGCCACTTTGGTGGACCTTGCTGCCGATGCAGAGAACTCCCTACGGCCCCACACAAACGCCAGCCCCAGGCAAGGCGCCGGGCATCCGTGAGCCTCAGTAGGTGATGTTGTGTCTTTTTGTCCACACTGCGTCACTCGCGTCGCCTGTTGGCTGCCAACTCCTGGCCAGTTTCACAGCCCGCCTGTCCCAGGCCCTGGCTCTGGCCGGCTC